AGATATATCTTTATGAAGTAACAGCAAAAAAAATTTTTTGTTTATTTTTATATTAAATATAAATAATGGTATATATTTATTTTTCCACGTAATCATTGTTATAAATATATTTATTATAAATATATTTTAAAATATATTATAAATATATTATAAATATTATAAATATATTTTAAAATATATATATATTATAAATATATTTATAAATTATTATAAATATATTTCATGCTCATGTACAATTTTTATTGTATTTTTTTTTTAATGTGTTCATAAAAAAATTATTTTTTTTCTCGAAACTTTATTTATTCATTATACAGTTCAAATGGTATCTAGTAATTTTTTAGTTTTTGAAACTAAAGATAACTTGAAACACTTAAAAGACAAATATTTTAATTATGATGAAATATGATTTGAAAAAATGATTTCATGACTTTTTCATAAACGGAATATAAAAATTGATAGAAATATGTTACAATAGATGGTTATGGAAAAATTTATATATAAAAAAAAGTTTTACTTATTATTTTTTTAATATTTCATAAAAATATAATATTCTTTCCGTTTATTTTTTATTTAAATGAAGTTATAAGTTTATCCTTGTATATTATTATGAAATGACTATCAAATGTTGTAATAAATTTTGCAACAGAATCAACTGAAGTTTGCTCATGAACTATAATGTAATATCAAAAGGATATATAAATGTATGGACAAGAATTTGATTGACATGATTAAAAATATAATATAATATATAATGTATAAAAAAAATATTTTTATTATTTATTTTTATTATATATATTTATATTTATATTTTTTATACATTACATATAAAATTACTAATATTATAAAAAATATGTATTAATAATTTATATAAATTATATAAATTATTAATACATATTAATATCGAATGAATATGAAAATAGCATTAAATTTTATTTAAAATTAACAAAAATTGTTTTTAAAAACAATTAATAATGATAATGATTCATATAATAACATATAATAACATTATTCAGAATTTTTTATTAAATAAACTATGTTTATAGAACTAGTTCTTATTACGCATGACTGTGAAGGCGTATACTGACGCATAATGATCAGCTGAACGTTCATAGCTCCACCATTTCTTATTGTTAAAACAACTGTCAAACGGAATATTTCGTTCGTGAATCTGTTTCCTATCTATATTGACAAACACGATAAAAAAGCCAAAATTGGGTGATCTATTAACGTAAAAGCGTTTCGGACGCATCCGGGTAAGTTTTTTTTAAAATTCATTATAATTCAGAAAGTATTTACAAAATACATTCAAATGTCTAACTAGAACAAAATGGCGAAATAACGGGAATAGTACAACTATTAACTATAATTACAATGACTTTTAATTGTGTATTTAATTATCTGATATATATTATAATATAATATTAATTAATTATTTTACTACAATTTTCTAATATTTTTAAACTTAACACAATATCTACAATTATATTAAAAATTAAATTTTTATTTTTCTACAAATTAATACAATAAATCATTATAATTTTGTATATTATGTTTTTAAAAATAATAAATAATATAATGTTTATTTATGATTACTAATGAAAAAGATAAAAATTATTTCGAAATTTATTTAATATTAAAAGATAATAAATTCATTTCAAATATATTAGAAATAAATTCAAATAAATATTATAGATACAGATATAAAGATTATTAAAAAATATTCTAGAAGAGAATATTGAAAATGTAATCTAGAATATTTTAAAATTTCAATTCTTATGCGAATTATTTATTTTGTTTATAATATATGATTATTTGCGTTTTAATTTTTATTATTTATTAATTTTTGTTTAAATAATCAATTATTTAAATTTTGAATAATTTTTTTAAATTATTTGAATTACTTAATAAATAAATTATTAAAAAATATTTTACAAAAATAATCAGCAATTTTATACGTTATATACTTCGGTTAAATTCGTTTAAATTCGTATGTGTCCGTAGTAATTCGGATATTTTCCGTCCGTGATGATTCACAAGCAGATGCGAATTACAATATCGTTCATGTACGCGCTCGTGTGTAGTGTATATTTTGCTCTTTGCGGGAGCTCATTCTTATGTAAAGAAAAAAGATAATATAAATACACATATAGTTTTCAATGATCTTAATTTCGTATTGTAAATTTGAAATAAATGGTATGTACATTAATTTTTATATACGAAAAACTATTATATGTATTTTGTTGCCAATAACGAATCAATTTACGATTAATATAGAAAAATTTTTTATATTAAATTTTTTATATTATCTATTAATTTTTCATAACCTAATCATATTAATTTTTTAAATAAACAATTTTTTTATAGTAATTTCTTTTTAATTACCGATTAAAACAAACATATTATATTTTTAGAATATTATGAAATCAATCTTAGAATGTTATTTTTATTATATCATTTTTTTTATTATTCATATAACTATTAAAATAATATAAATATAAATATGATTTTAATTTTTACATGTTGTACATGTATTTACAATAATTACACCTTTTCAAAATTAATATCTTTCTTAAACTTTCTATTGACATTTTAATATCTATGAATTATTCAGATTTTAATTGCAAATTTTATTTATACTTATTCTATTAAGGAAAAGTTCATTTACACGTTTGCATATTTTAAATTTGTTTTTGTTTTCATATTCATTCATTTACGATAAGTCTAAATTACGATCTTACGTTCTCTTAATTTTGACAGTTCATTGTTGCATCATCCGATTGAAATTTTTTCTACAATCTTCTTTTGAATATGATAATAACAATTCGAATATTAAAATGACATATAATGTCTTTTTGATATTTTGTATATTCAGAGAATAAATTTCGAAAATTTTACTGTTTTCTAAATTTTGTTGTTATTTTATTTTAAATTTTAAATATTTTTTTTCCTTCTTGTTTCTCATATAATTCTTATTTTTTTATACAATTAATTTTATTAGTAATTTTATTAGTAAATATAAAAAAAATATCTTATTATTATTATTATTGTTGTTGTTATTGTTTTTATTGTTATTCTTCTTCTTCTTCTTATTATTATTATTATTATTACTTTATAATTTTATTATTATTATTATTATTACTTTATAATTTTTTTATTATTATTATTATTTTTTTTACTATTACTTTACTTTATTATTATTATTACTTTTATAACTTTTATTTTTTTTTGTTTTGAATTTTTCAGTATTTACATATTTTCAATATTTAATTTTTTTATTTCATCATGTTATTATAATATATAAATGATTTTAAAATTATTTAAATATAAAATTGTTAAAATATATAAAATCTTTATATATTATATATAAATATTTTTATAATTTCATTGATCATTAGCGATATTGTTTATATAACATAATTTTATATTTATATTTATATTTATATTTATATTATTATTATTATTATTATTATTATTATTATTGATTGAGTTTTAAATTAATATATCCTCAAATTATATAAAAGAAAAAATGTACAATCGAAGATGTTGTAGTCGAAATTATTTCGAATTAAGTACTTTTCTAGTACATTCTTTGTAGCTTTCAATAAGTATACAATTTAATGACGATGCATAATATATAAATGCGCTAAAATAATAACAAAAGAAAATAATGAAAATAATAAAAAGTATTATTTTTAATAGTATTCGTAAGTTTTAATATTTAAATATTATATTAATAAACATAAAAATTATATCATTATGAAATTTTCAATTTTAATTTATGATTCAATTAAATATTTCTTGTTTTTCTATATTTTTTTTCTAAAATAGTTCATTAACTATTTAATTATTTTAAGTATTTAAATACAGATATATGTACATAATTGAATTTATATTATTAAAAAATAAACCATTGTTGATTGTTAAATCAATTAAATATATGATAGCATATGTTTAGAATAAATTTATCTATTATTATTAATATAATAATTACAAATAATTTAAATTAATTTTTTTAACTTTTAATAATTATTTTATATTATATTAATATTATTTTTTTTTTATAGATACAAGGCTAGCCAGCTGCGCCATTCTTGTTGTGTGACATTTATATTATCAGCCACACTACGCATTTTTTATATTATTTTATTTTTTCATTATTGCTGTAGTGAGCTGTCAGTCACACATTGCAGGAATGGACACATCGGGCTTGCCTGTACCGGATGCAATCCACCCGCTACTTGAACAATTACAAGAAGCTTTGGTCCTTGAAGTAAAATATCAACCTAACCTTCAATTACCTAATATAACACAAGTATGTATATAAATTATATAAAGAATTTATATTAAATTGAAAGAACTTTTTTTAATTGTAAAAAAACATTATATTAGTACATATTTTTTATCTAAATAATTTTATTTCTTTCAGAATGATGAAATAACAATTGGAGCTCGTGATGGGTCTGCTCATGTTTTAAGATGTTTGAAAGTATGGTATGATCTACCATCAGATGTATTTTTTGTTGCTATTAATTTAATGGATCGATTTTTAACAAAAATGAAAGCAAGACCAAAACATATGGCTTGTATAAGTGTATCTGCTTTTCACATAGCTGCTGTTCAGTTAGCACAGTCATTGGATGCTGATCACTTAGTTTCAATTTCTCAGTGTAAATGCACAGGTGGTGATCTTAAACGTATGTCAGAAGTAATACGGAATAAGTTAGAATGGGCACCTGGTACTCAACCTATTACATCTTTAACTTTTCTTCAATTATTCAATGCAATGTTCCTTGCAATTGCATCACACTTAGGACTAGATATGTATACCAATATTGTTACGGTAATAATTTTAATTTTGTTAAAAATATTACATTAATATAATATATGAATATAATGTATAATATAAATTTGCTATCTATCTTATTTTAGGAATCTGAGCTTTTACTTAGGTTAGAAATGGTTGCATGTGATGGTAATTGTGCAAGTTTGAGACCATCAGAAGTGGCACTTGTTTTACTCTGCACATATTTAGATGGTGCAGTGAATCGATTAGACACTAATACAGATATTCCCATATCAACAACTGCTATACCTAGTTCCTCTACTATTAATACATCTATAACATCAAGACATCAAATGCTTAGACTTTTGGACTTTGCTATAGAACTTCAAAAGATATGTAAGGTAATTGTATAACAATTTATATATTTATTATATTTAATTATTATATTTTATATATTTATATTTCTTATATTTTTTCAATATAATGAGTAACTTAATAAAATATATAGATTTCAGACACAAGTTTTTTTTCTACACATGAAGCTGTGGGTGCTGTATTGAGCAAATATAATGCTCAAGAGCAAACTCCTCACAGACAAAGACTGATATGGAGATTATCTTCTCGTACAGCACGCCTTTTACGTCCAACTGATAAATTTACTTCTGTATTACCTGTTATTGCCGAACATACTCCGGTTCCTTCACCGAGTAAAATTAGGTATATTTTTTACTTTTTATATAGTACACATGATTAAACAATATTACAATATTTGAGCTAAAAGTGATTGAAAAATATGGCATATCATATGAAATTTTCTAAGCAAAGAAATTAAATAAAGATACAAACATATTAAAAAACATATTATCTAAGAAATATAAACGATGTATGTCAAAGTGTTATTGATTTGAATGAAATTTATTTTTTAATTATTTTATTATAACGTATAAATAATAAAAAAAACTAATTAAATGAATATCTTAAATTTGAATGATTTTAAAAGAATAAATGAAAATTTCTGATCTTTATTGGATTTCTTTAGTTATTTATAAGTTTCTTAATTATATCCTTAATCAATTAACTAAGTACAATCCATATATATATATATATATATATATATATATATATATTATATTAATATTATTAAATATTAGATTTCATATTAATATTGCATTTTTTAACAATTTGAATCAACATTTATAACATATAATGATAAATATTAATTTCTCTTTATTTATAGGAAAAATCGTAAGTTCGGTCGACGTCATGGAAATAAAAGACGTTAAATGGTAGTATCGAGGCCTTAAAGTAAGTTAATGATTATAATTGTCAATATTAACATAATAATCAATGCTATATATAAAATATATTGTAATTAATAATGGATTATTTTTAAGGTGCTGGATCAGAAGATTAATATTTATTCAACATACCAAGAAAAAAATTAGATTTCAGTTTAAAATTAAAAATAAATTTCATTAAAAATTAAATAGAAAGTACAAATATCAATGTATTTACGTCGAATAGCGAAATTTGTGATATCTCTTTTTATGACATGCGTTGAAAAACGAAAAAAAGTATTTCAGTGCAGTACCTAATTCATACTAAATTTGGTTTTGAACATACTAAATGTATTGAAACATATATATATATATATTTTTTTTAATTGTATTGTACATTTTATAAAATGGACGAGAATTTCATTCTCAAATTTATCGATTATTAATATTATATCAAAAACACGAATGCCGTAAAAAAGAAATAAATAACAATCGAATGTCGTATAGTAGTAAGATAAATGTGATACAATGTCCATTGTAATTCGTATATTATGAATTATTATAAATATATACATACCTTTGCAAAACGTGTTAAAAACACAAAAAATTAATTACATGTGATTATAAATATAAAGTTAAAAATTATTTAAAAAAATAGATTATAAATGATAAATAAAATTATTTAGGAAAATCAAAATGTTTAATAAATTATAATGCTGAAAATTATGCAAAGTTTAAATTACTATTTGATGTTTCGTTGTAAGATTGTATTTAAGTATTGTTTATAAAGTATGAACGAATGTAAATAAGAAATTTTTATTAAGTGATTTTACAATATCTTTGTTAAAAAAAAGATGTAATTATGCATTTATAAATAGTATAATCTTTTGTACTCAAATTGTATTTTAAATATTGTTCTCAATTTATATTGTTTTAATTTTAATAATTATTATTAATCGTAAATTTTATTTATTTTCTATAAATAATTAGAAAATAATTTAAAAAATTTGAAAAAATAATAGATATCTTTGATAAAAATCATATTCCATATAATCTAGAATTATTTCAAAATTTTTACAAAATCATTTAGATATTATTTGGGAAAATATTTTAAAAATGAACAATTTTTATAATAATAAATAAATACAATTAAGAGCACAAAAGGTTAGTAATCTTGAGAAAAAGCATTTTTTAAAATCAATCAAAGAAAAAAAAATATTTGCTATGAAAATAATTATATGTAAAATTTAAAAAATATATATAAATTAATTTGTAATATTTTAAAGCCACAATATTTATGAAAAATTTTTATTATACTTAATAAATAAAATATAACTTACTAAAAATCAGCAACTTCAGAACATTAAAATGAATACAAATATAAAAGTAAGTATAAAATTTAAAATATATATATATAATTTACTATTATGAATATTCTATTTAATCAATTGTAAAATATTAAAACAGAAAAGATTAATTGCAAAAAATATATTTTTATTGTTTATAAAATGTTATTTTTAAAATACTTATAATGATAAATGTAATAGTAAACAATATTATTTCAAAAATATTAATATCGTATGTTAATATCTTTCAAGAAAAAATTCAAATTTTTATTATATCTATATTTTTAAATATTTTGTTCAAGTTAGTAATGATTTAAATTTTTCATTTTAATTTTACAAAATATTTTTTTAAAAAAATTATTAAATTAAAAAATATATTATTTATTTTACATATATATATAATTTAATATATAAAATATTATTTTGAATTTTTATATATTAATTATATTTATAGCTTATAAGTAAATATTATTGACATTGAATTGTTTCAAAAATGAAAATATATTAAATTACTATAAGAAATTCTAAAAAAATATTTAGAATATAATAAATTTTTATGGAAAAATATTATTACAGTTTTTTATCTTATCCGTAATTTTATATTCATTGTCTTGATTTCCGACTTAATACAGTATTTTCATAAATGAATGCAACATGCGTATAGAAACGTGTTATTTTTGTTCGTCTCGAATATATCCGGGACATGGAATACAATTCGTAAGAAATGATTGTAAGGTGAGAATTTTTATATATATTTTTTTATAATATTAATAATAGTAAAATTCAAAATTATATTTTGAAATATTTTTTTCAAATTATAAAATACAAACTTTTTCGATATTATTTAGGTTATATATATATTATTTATTTGTTTGTATATTTTTGTAAATATATAAACAATTAACAATTATTCAATATTGATAATCAATTATTATATATATTATATATATATATATTATTATAATACTACATATATTTGTATATCATATTTTGTTTGTTACAGATATTTAAGTTTTGTCGATCAAAATGTCATGCTGCATTCAAGAAAAAGAAAAATCCAAGGAAAGTAAAATGGACTAAAGCATATAGGAAAACAGTTGGAAAAGAGTTGGCAGTAGATCCATCATTTGAATTTGAAAAAAGAAGAAATATTCCTATTAAGTATAATAGAGAGTTATGGCATAATGCAATTGATGCTATGAAAAAAGTAGAAAATATCAAACAAAGGAGACAAAATCTACATATAATGCAACGATTACGTAAAGGACGAGAATTAGAAAAAGAAAGAGATATTAAAGAAGTTCAACGTGATTTATCACTTATAAAATCACCTGCTGTAGGGTTAAAAGAAAGAAGGAAATTAGAAGAAATTACTGAACAAGACAAAATGCAGGAATCCAGTGATGAACAAGAACAAGTAGAAATGGAAATGAATTAGATTAAATTGTTATGAAAATCATTCATTCATTTATAAAATATTTATATTATGATGATAATAATTATTAACAAAACCTTTTAAAATCATATATTAAACATGATTATGAATAAAATTTTATTTATAATAAACAATAAGTTATATTATAAATTGTTATTAATTTTTATACTACAACAAAATAATTTGTATTAAAAATTTGTAAATAAAAATACAATATAAAATTAACTATCAACAAATAAGTAAGCATTAATGATAATCCTTTTTTAAATATATTATATTTTTATATATTAAATAAAAATATTTTTCAATTTAAAATTCAAATATATGTGAATTAAAAATATAAATATCATGTTATATTTTACGAAAAAGGAAATTATAAATATGATTGCAAAAATTCTTTTTATGATATAATTAAGTTTTATTTTATTACATTTATTGCAGTAATTAATTACTTAGATTAAGATCTATTTTATTTCATGAATTATAAAATTCTAAAGAAAGAAAAATTTAAGAAAAATATATTGATTATATTATAATACTATATATATATTACTTAATACTTATTTTTTAATTTATAATACTATTATGTAAATTTATCATGATATGTATTAATGCACTATACAGATTCACATTAATGACAGCTAAAATACAAATATTAAATGGTATGAACTGTAATTTTATTATTATATATATATCTATATATAAAGTAAGCACAATACAATACAAAACATAAAAATATACATAAGCTAAAAAAGAATAAATATACAAAAATGAATATAAATAAAAATTAAAAATTAGAATCAAAGACTGGCATATAGATGATAATAAACATAAATTAATTTTAATGATAATCATAAAAAATAATAAATAATAATAAAAATAATAATAAAAAAAAATAAAAAATGATAAAATAAAAATAATAAATTAATTTTAATTTTAATGAAAATATCATTGATTGATTCTCACATGAATAGAATTTTTATCTAATAGATAATAAATATAAATGATCAGACATTGAAAAAATCAATATCTCGAAATTCTATATTTTTATTTGAATAAAATTTTTTTCTCATTGGAATAATAATTTTGATTAAATTTGTCTTTTTAACTTTCTATGATTCACGGATCATGAATTTGACTTTCTTGGTTTATAATATTGAGTATTAAATTCGATATGAATAAAATTCAAAAATAGTTGGGAATCGTTCCTTAAAGTTATGAGTTACAATAATCTTTAATAATCTAGATTATAACAAATTTGGTAAATGATTAAGATTAATTATTCTTCTAAACTAGTTTTTAGCATAGGAATAAATAGAGATAAAGTCGAAAATCGTATATGTGAAAATGAACGATTTGATCACTTGTAGAAAAGAACAAATATAATGAGTTGAGAAACCTCTAGTAGGCAATATTCCCACAAAACTGCTCAAATTTTAAATAATTTGATTTCATGCCGTCAAAGAAATTTTGATGAAAAAAAACAATTGCTTCATATATAGCTTATTATGCTTTATATACACATAAATTTTTATTAAAATTAAAATTTACGAATTAAGTGAATTTTCTCATAAGATAGTGTGATTTTTTTTTGATTAGATATATATATTTTGCGATTTATTAACTGGTAAATAATATATGTATAAATAATATATTATATATAGATTTTAAAATGAATTTATATAAAATAAATTTTTTATTTATTTATACATTATAATTTGTATTTAGATTTTTATTGTTTTAGGTAAATAACTTCAATTTTGCTTTCTTAAAGAAGAAACAATATTTTAGTGCAAAATTTATATAGAGGAGTGTTGTGTGCTTTTCGCACACTCAACTGCATTCATATCATGTCCGTAATACAAATTGATGGAAGTTTAGGAGAGGGTGTATGTATATATTTTTTATAGTTAATCATTTTAAAAATGATAAAGGTTAATCAGTTTTTAATAGAATTTACAAAATATATTTGTAAGATATTTACTATTAGGTATTTAGTCATTAGGTTTGAAATATGTTATTTTTAATATTTTCAATTAATTATTATTAAAATTGTAATTTCTTGTAAAAATTACAGGTTTGAAATATATTATTTTAATGTTTTCAATTAAAAATTATCATGTTTGCATTTAGGGAGGTCAAGTATTAAGAATAGCACTTTCTTTAAGTGCATTGTATAAAATTCCAATTAAAATTAATAATATACGAGCAGGTCGTCCTAAACCTGGACTTGCTGCACAACATTTAAAAGGTTTGTTTTTATTAAAATTTCATTAATTATTGTTAAATATTTGAAAAAAGAGATACATATTACAATATTAAATTATCTATATAATAATTAATAAAGCAAGATAAATAAGATACAATAATTAATATATTAAATTAAATATTATAGGAGTAGAACTATTAAAAGCTATGTGTAATGCAGATGTTCATGGAGCATATATAGGATCAACACTTCTAGAATTTAAACCTGGTCAATTAAATGAAAAAAGAAATAATACATTTCTTATAGATACAGGAACTGCTGGTTGTATTTGTTTGTTAGCTCAAGTAGCTTTACCATGTGCTCTTTTTTTTCCACAAAGAGATATGGTTACATTAATTCTTAAAGGTGGTACGAATGTTCCTATGGGACCACATATAGAGTATCTTACAGAAGTATTAAAGCCATTACTTAATAAATTTGGAGCAGATTTTGATTTTAGAGTTATAACGAGGTATATATTAATATATATTATTATTAATATTCTACTATAAAGTAAAATTGTCTTATTTAAAAAGTATTAATATTTTAATTATTTTTAAAGGGGTTATTATCCAAAGGGAGGTGGAGAAATATATTTATATATAAAACCTGTACATATTTTGAAAGCTATTACTTTAACTGATCCAGGAATCCCCCGTGAAATATTAGGATGGGCATATGTTGCAGGTGTTGTTCCTATTAAAGTATGTAACTTTTATATATAGTTTCTATATAATTTCAATATGATTTTATATAATTTTAATATGTAATTTAATATTCATAATTTTAATATATTTCTAATTTTAAATATTAAATTTATATATATTTTTTATTTATATAATTTTTCATATTTTCTTCATTTTGGAGGAAGCACATAAAATGGCCAATGATGTAAAATCAATTTTAATAGAAGGTTTAAACAAGCATAATATTCCATTACCACCTATAAATATTGAAGTCTATAAAGAGGATAAATCTATAGCTATTGGTAATGGTTCTGGCATTAAGTAAGGTTTTAATACTGAATAAAAATATAAAATGATAAATTTTGTACATAATATTTCTAATAAAATATAATTAATATTAGCGTAACGTGTACTACGACTAGTGAATGTATTTTTGGTGGATCAGGATTGGGTTCTGGACGTCAAGAGCAAATAGCTCCAGGTATACAGGCAGCTAATGAAATTTTGGACACAATTTTAGCAAGATCTTGTGTCGACGATTACGCGCAAGATCAAGTACGTATTTTATCAAATAATTATAAGTAATTCTTTAAATTTTACAAATAATACAATAATCAATCATTTATTTCAGTTAATCATCTTTATGGCTCTAGCTAAAGGTACTTCTAGAATTAATCTTGGCAGTAAAAAACTTACTTGTCATACAGAAACAGTTATAAAAGTTGCAGAGTTGATGTTAGCTCAATTTAATCTTCATTTTAACTTATGTGAAAATAGTAATGATGGAGATAATATTTCATACAGTTTAGAATGTAAAGGTTGTGAATATGAAAATAAATATGCAGAATAAATATATATGTTTTGTATTGCAATAAATATTATTTGAATGCAAAAACATATGTACATATAATTTTTTGTATATTTTATCTATTTTTAAATAAATTACATATATATTAGAATTTAAAGAATTTAAGAATAATT